CCCCAATGCCCCGCCACGCCACGCATTGAACCCCCTCCCGCCCCGTTAGTTTCCGAGAACCAATGCTCCGCGGCTGCGGCTGCCTGCCTGCCTCGCCTCACCTTTCCCTTTCTTGAACGAAAAGCATGTTACTGGTAGTTGTACTTACGAAAACACCATTTCCTCTGACTGGAACTGGAATCGATTTCCCACTACTATGCTTTACATGGCATGTGCGTGCTGTGTGCTGGCTGAAATTGAATGAATCGCGGCGAGATGAATTGCGCATGTGCCTTCACATTCGGCTTGGATCCGAACGCCCCCATCTCGGCCCCGGCGCGGGCCCGCTGTTGACACTGCTCAGCCTGCCGGCTGCCCCCCGGGGGGCCCCGTGCCCCACCAGCCCGCCCACGCCCCTTGAATAATGCCCCTTTCGTCTTTTTCTTTAGACCGAGTTACGTGCGGCGGACCGCCTCCCCTCACCGCTCTTCTCTCACACTCTGCTCTCACTCTCTACCCTACTCTCTCACTCTACTCTCTCCTCTCTCACTCTCTCACTCTCTCCTCTCTCACTCCCCCTCTCACTCACCCCTCTCACTTACCCCTCTCACTCCCCCCTCCCTCGCTTACTCCCCTCTCTCACTTGCCTCTCTCACTTTCCTCTCTCTCTTTCATCTCCAACTTTCCTCCCTTACTTTCCTCTGTAAATTTCCTCTCTGACTTTCCACTCACACTCTTTTCTCACACCCCGTCTCCCTCCTTCCTCCCCATTTTTTTCCTCACCTTATTTTCGTTCGCCGCTCTCTGAGACGAAATATAATTTCCGTCGCTTCCTTCCCTTACAACCCCCGCCCACCTCCAGCGCACACCTCTCTCTACCACACGAGCCGGGCCAAGTAGTCTCTGTCCTGCTGTGTCTCTTACTCTCTTTCGTTACCCGTATACCTTAACAAACGGCGACGCCCCTCAGCGCGCCGTGAAACTTTCTTTTCGGAATGTTCAATTACTTTTCTATAGAGTCTCTGGCTTTCTCTCTCCGGATGGACTGTAGATCCACCACCCGCGCACTTGCATGCGGCTTCGTTACTTTCAGATCGTCAGCCCCCCCCCCCCTTCCCCCGGAAAAAAGAAAGAAAGCAAGAAACATTTTTTGAAATATGCAGGGAATTTTCTCACGATGCGGCCGATGTGCACGGTCGACAGAGCCAGACGGGGGGTCCTTTGCTTGCCTTCCGCTTTAACTTGGTTATTATTGTTCTTGTCGAAGTTGCGGCGGCGAGCGGATTCTGCACGGACTAATCCCGAATCAATAAGTTTGGCCGGTCCTTAAGCCCCTCCAGTCGGGCCGCTGGACCGCGCGTCTGAACCCACTCGCTCAAGTTATAATGAGGTCATTGCTGTAACGCCCTGGCGGCTTGCGAGAGAGTGATACGATACGCCCCTGTTAGGCCGACCGGACGTGTCTGCCTTTCGTCACCCCTCTCATCTCTCTCTCTCTCTCTCTCTCTCTCTCTCTCTCTCTCTCTCCATACGGATGTATGTGCTTCCGGCCTCGCCCCACCTGTCGCCTGCCTTCCGCCCTTCCGTTCCAATGCCGCTGCTGAGACGCCGTTCCCCGTAAGACCGCGCAATTTGAACCTTCTTGAGGCAAGAGGAGAATGCGTCAGACCGAAGGAGCGAGCGAGCAAAGGGCGAGAGAGGAGAGAAGGAGGGGTAGGGGAGGAAGGGGGCGCAGGAGCAGGAAACGTGACTACTCCCAACCACGGCCACGCTCTGTCGAGCCTGCCGAGAACGGATACCAACCACTCACGCTTCGATCTTTCTCTCCTCGCTGGAGCGCGAAAGGCTGGCGCGGCGTAGCGAGCTGTGGATGAGCACTGAAGGAAGGCGGGCGGCTCCCCGCGTCGTGACGAGCAGCCTTACACTCCCAATTTGCGGGGACCCGACAATAACGTTGGCGCGAAAGTTAGCATGTTGTTGAGCTCTCACCCTGATACGATATCTACACCCAGAAAAGCGAGTGCTTGAAAGTCTCAAGTACATTTTTGCGCTCAATTCAAGCCCAATTTAGCCATAAAACTCGAGGGGTGCTTAACTCCATAAAAATGTGTACACCGGATTACCAAATAGTAAAGATTACCAAAGATTACCTATGTATACTAGGTATGATCCACCTGAATTCTAAATCGAAACGGCAATTTTTTGTTCCGACAAAGATGAATTTTTGTGCAACTCTTTGGTAGTTCTTGATTCTTTATCATGCAAGTTACAAATTTGAATTATATGATTGGCCAAATCTATATTTTGTCTATGGGAGAAATGCAAAGTTGCCATATTAAACATGCGCGTTGGCATTTAGGCAAGATGTGCACAAAAATTAATGTCTAAATCAACAAATTTGTCCTTTTACAGGACCTTCACGAGTGTGAGGATTACTAGGAATTACCAGTGATTAGCAAGTCTGTGTAGACCTGATTACCACAGTTGGGCACGCCTAAAACCCTACAAGAACATGTCTATCATTCAAGCGCGAGGGCCAGCGATTTGAGAACAAATTGGGGTTGATTTGAGCCCAAATACTCGAGTACTATGTGGGTTGAGACTATCAAGTACATTGCACACGACACGAGAAGACGCTTTTCTGTGTGAACCCTTTTCATCTCTGCTTGGGTGGCTCAGATTTAAAAGCTCGCTCTACACAACTCCGGCCGGCCTTAAGCCCGGGCTTAAGAGCCCCATTGATTTGAACCGGCTGCATGTTTACCGTACATTGTTTGAACTGAAAGACGCGCGGAAATGGTAAATTTGCGGTTCCGGGTATCAGATCAGACAAGTATTTGGTGAGAGAGAGAGAGAGAGAGCGGTCGTGTCGGGTCGGGAGCGTTATGTGCCCGGCGCTGTGCGAGGCGCTGTGCTCCCTCCGGCGTGGAACGCATGATCGCCTGCCACCCCCCTCTCCCCTCTCGCCCAGTCCCCTTTTAGGCCTCGATATGGGATCAAGTGAGAGTAGGCCCCCATCGCACGGCCCGAACAGACTGTGAATCGCTCTTGATGTGTGCGAGCGCAGAAGGGCAGGGTTTCCTCATGACCATGGTTTCCACAAGTCTGGAAAACCTGGAAAGTCCTTAAAAAATGGTCCTGGAATATGTCCTGGAATTTGGTGGGATTGTCCTGGAAAAATCAAATTTCTAGATTTACATGAAAAGCTCTTTTTAATTTTATGATACGACAATGTGGAAATTCACATAAGTTTATGATGCTCTCACTTTAAGTAGGGCGTGAATTTTAAAATTATTTTATAGCGAAAAGGGAGAGAGGATGCCTGCGAAGCGAACGGGTGTGCAATGTTGCAGCCGAGTGTGCAGCAAGCTCTCCTTCGAACAGAACGGAACGGCACGCACCGCGCGCCATCGTCGAGCAGTGCAGCTTGAGGCCGGTATTATTACATCCGGGACACTTCCCCGTCCCTCCCATTCCACTATCCCATCCTCAACGGGCCTACACCCCATCTTCTCGGTTCACCTATCCCCCCCCCCCTCTCTTTG